CTTAGCTGTAGAGGGCAGTGTCACTGGCCCTCATATGTGGGATCCGAACCGGGGTCCTCTGGCGTCCCAAGCCAGCTCTTAACCAATGCGCCACTTGGCCGGCCCTTTAAAGACTTTTTTATTGGGGAATTGGGATGGGAACAGCACTGGGGAATTGGGAAGGGGAACAGACAAGTTGCTGTCCTTTTGTTCTTCAGTCTATTTATGGAGGACATTGCTTCACTGGCCCAAGTTGGCACCATCATTGCACTCTTCCCAGGCGAGGCAGATCAGTCACCGACTTCTGGACGGCCGCTCACGCTGGCTCCTGGCTACACACGGTAGCTTATGGCAACCCACTGCAGCAGGGGCTGCAGCCTACGCTGTAGTTGGTGACTCTCCGGCAGCCCAGCTCCAGGTTGAGCTGTTGTTCAGCATCTTAGCTGTGGAGGACAGTGTCACTGGCCCTCATATGTGGGATCCGAACTGGGGCCGTCTGGCGTCCCAAGCCAGCTCTTAACCATCGCGCCACTTGGCCGGCCCTTAAGGGATATTTTCATCAAGAAACAACGATAGGCATACTGGTTTTTTAATATATCTGCATAATATCCTGTTGTACTAAAAGCCACTGAAATTTAATCTGAAATTTAATCAGATTTCTGTTGATGAATATTTAAGTTGTCTTCAGTTTGTTTTGTTTTACTCAGGGACCACCATCCTTGTTGATAATCTTCGGGTGTTTCCATGATTATATACTTGTGATAAATTCATAGAATTTGAATTGCTATTTCAAAGGGTAGGTGTATTTTTAAGACTTTTGATACTTATTCCTGTTTTGCCTGACAGAAGATTTGTATTATTTTACTCTTTTTGCCTAAGAATTGGTATCTGGGTTTTTTTCTTTAAGATTATATTCTTTAAGGCTGAGGAACTTTGGGCAAACTTAACTTTCAAAATCTGTTTATAGTTTAGACAAACATTTCAATTAAGCATTGTGGCAGTGTTCCAGTTAACAAGGTTTTGGTTTACAGTATTCAACTAAATACTGAACAGTTATAATAAAAATTATTTTGCTTTTAGTTTTTGACCTTTCTGTAAATTGTAAAACCCTCAAGTGCTTATTAAATTTCTTAAAGCTGCTCTGTGTCAGAGGTTTAAGTGTGGAGCATGTAATGACAGCAGTAGCCAGCCAGCAACAAACTCATCTCGTGGCCTGCACTTAGGCTCTTTCATCCGGACAGGAAAGATGGGTGGGTTGACCAGATGGTAAACGTTTTTATGTGGCATCAAACTTTTTATTTTAATGAACGTGATGAGAAATTAGTCCAGGTAAATAATGCCCAAATCTGAAACAACGATAATTAACTACATAAGCAATGGTATGTGCAAGGCTGTCACACTTTGAACTAATTGTTAGGAAATATGCTTAGTAATTTTCTCAGATACATTGAGTCCTTTTTTATGCTTTTATTATGAATAAGAGTACCAGATCGTACACAATTATAGCCTCTTACATACTCAAGTAGTCAAAGATCACCTTCCAATTACCACATTTGATAACCTTTTCTGTATCTCCTTAGCCTCTCAGGAGCAGTCAAACTGTTAACTATGCCATTCCTTCTTAAATTTCTCTCTTCCTCTGGCTTTTGCAGTTTGGTCCCCTTCAGATACTCCAGGTCCCCTCCAGATACTCACTCTAGAGTTACATCCTCAACCCTTTTTTCTTTTGCTATGTTCTTTGGGAATTTTTATCCATACCCATAACTTCTACCATCATTATACCAGCTGATGATTCCTAAATCTGAGCTTCTAATCTTAACTTTCCTTTTAAACTCACAGAACTCTGTCATTCTTTCCTGACAGACATAGGAACGTGCAGAGCCCATCACTGGTTTGTCATTCCACAAATTCATATTCCTGTCAGTCATTCTTCTAACATAGGCCTCACCAAGTCACTCATTTGATACAAAATCTCAGTATTCCTAGAAACTAGGAAATCTATGAAGTCCTTTTTCCATCTGGCCTGACAGTTACATTTGCCTCTTCCTGCCTAAGTCTGGCATATTTCTCTTTCATTGTTCCCAGATATTATATATGCCTTACCACCTCTCTGCCTTAGCCTCATGATGTTCCCAATATCTGGAATCCCTGCTCCAGCACTCATCTCATTCTGTCAAGATCTTATTCCTTATCCAAAGCCAGATCAAATATCACTTCTTAAAATCATTAATGAGCTCCCCAACCTTGTTTTTTAGCCTAATTTTGAGCCACGAGGTTTCCTTATTGTCATACATTAAATTTTTTATTGGATCATAGCAGTTTGTATACCTGTCTCCTCCTCTAAAGTATGAACTCTTTGAGGTCAGGGAAAGTATCTTGATTCTTTTTGATTCAATACCCAGCATCACATCTTGAACTTTGTAATTCTCAGTATATATTTGAATTGAGCAGCGGTGGTGAGATCTACTGGCTTCATAAGATCCATCAGTTTTAGGAAGGGCGTATAACTCATGTAGAAGACTAAAAATGGCAGTTACCACAAGAAGATAACATAGGGGAATTTGGAGAAGGAATCTAAGATTTAACTCATGAAAGGGGAAGGTGTGAGATAGGATTTTGATTGTGAAAGAGTGTGAAGAAAATGAGAATTGGCAGGGTAAAGTGGCTTTGAAAACTAAATGGGGAAAAGTAGATGGCAGGTTTTGATATTCGAGGATAATGAACCAGTACTATATTCAGAGGTGGTTGGCACCATAAAAAAAATAAAATTGTTCAGTGGGATTTCAGATGAGATCCAGTGAAATGCGACGCACATGAACAGTGCCTGGGTGCCAGTTTCAACTGTTCCTCCCGTTAGTCTTGGGACTCTAGCACGTCAGCCTCTCTTCATTGGTTTCCTCCTCTGTCAGCTGGGGACTGTTTATCTGATAGAGGATTTACTCTAGCTCATGGTTATATCCAAAGATGAAATAATAGATATGGAACTAAAACTGAAAAATGGTAGAAGTCTTTACTATTTTAAGTCATAGCTTGTTTTAATCCTAAATATATTAACATTGATGCTCTTTCCAATTCTTGTTAATAACACATTGTCTTTTACAAATGTATAAAAAGTGGCTATTCTCTTTTAATAAAGAATGCAAGTGTTGTTAGATTTCTTATTTTTAAATTTTAAACCCAAAAGAAGCAAGAGACTGTTTTTGCACATTTTTTGATTTTTTTAATTATGCTAAGAATCCATAATATTGAAACAAAGATTTTATTTTTATTTTAAGTAATCATAGATGTTAAAAGATTATATCTTTAAAGCTCAGCTTATATATATTTTCTTCAAAAATTTTATTTTAGAGGAAAAATGTAACAAGAATTTTGTTTCATATGTATGATGGCTAATCTGGTCCAGATTTTAGTATAAGAAATCATTAGAAGTGTTACATCCTTGTAGAATAGGGAGCTCCTTTAACTTAATTAATTATTATTATTATTTATTAAAGATTTTACTGGGGAATTGGGAGAGGGGAACAGCACTGGGGAATCGGGAAGGGGAACAGACAAGTTGCCGTTGTTTTGTTCTTCAGTCTAGTTGTGGAGGACGTTGCTTTACTGGCCCAAGTTGGCACCATCATTGCGCTCTTCCCAGGTGAGGCAGATCAGTCACCGGCTTCTGGACGGCCGCTCACAGCGGCTGCTGGCTACACACAGTAGCCCATGGCAACCCACTGCAGCAGGGGCTGCAGCCTACGCCATCGCTGGTGACTCACAGCAGCCCAGCTCCAGGTTGAGCTGTTGTTCAGCATCTTAGCTGTAGAGATGGCCCCCATGTGGGATCCGAACTGGGACCTGCTGCTCAGAGCTGGTGTTCCAAGCGAGCTATTAACCAACACGCCACTCGGCTGGCCCTAACTTAATTTATTTTCAAATTCTATTAGTAGTTTTATTTTGAAAATAACTAATTCATTATTAAGACAAAGTGGGCTTAAATAAAAAACTATTGAGATTTATAGTTATTAGTATAGCAATCTCACTTAAATGAAAATTTATATTTACAAACTAAAATTGCATGAGTGACTTGATTAGTTCCTGTTTTATGCATCATCATTCCCCATGTTGTTGTTGTTGTTTCACAGCCAGAAATCACTGTAGAAAATCTTCCCACTTATTTAAGGCTTCAGAAACCATTGCTTACTTTATTCAGTGATGGCAACATAAACCCTCAGTATAAAAAAGCAATATTGACACTGATAAAAGAGAAACACTTGGATTCACTTACCCCCTGCTGGTTAAATCTGTAAGTATATTTTTATCTTTTAATATGTAAAGGGTACAGTTATAATTATTACATTTTGATTAGGAAATGAAACTAACTACCTTTGGAGTTAATAATTTATAATGTATGTATCATTAGGATGTTGTTAGTAACTAAATTCCCTCACATGGTCTAAAATGACCTTGTTTTAGACTAAATTCTGTTCTACAATAGTATTTTTTCTGTGTGGTATTTTATTCAGCTTTATTGAGGTATAATTGACCAATAAAATTGTAAGATATTTAAAGTATACATTGTGAAAGGATCCCTCCATCTAGTTAGTTAACACTTCTATCACCTCACCTGTTTATACACCACACAAATCAATTTGGGGCGGGGGAGGTAAAAACACTGAAGTTCTACTGTCTTAGCAAATTTCAATTATACAATATAGTATTATCAACTCTAGTCACCATGTTATACATTAGATCTTTAGACCTTGTTCATCTTATGGCTGAAAGGTTGGGCCTTTTAACCAACTTCTTTCTATTTTCCCAACCCCCAGTCCCTGACAACCACTTTTCTACTATTTGTATGAGTTAGTTTTTTTTTTTTTTCAGATTTCACATATAGTTGATATTATGCAGTATTTGTCTTTCTCTGTCTGATTTATTTCACTTAGCATAATGCCTGTCCATGCATGTTGTAGCGAATGGCAGATTTCCTTCTTTCTTATGGTTGAATAATACTCCATTGTATAATATATATTATACAATGGGATACACACACGCATGTGCGTGCATACACACCTTATTTATTCATTCATAATGCTGCAATGAATATGGGAGTCCAGATATCTCTTTGATATCCTGTTATAATTTTTCTTGAACACATAGCCAGAAGTGTGATTGCTGGATCACTCTATTTTAATTTTTTGAGGAACCTTAATACTGTTTTCCATAGTGGCTGCACCAATTTACATTCCTATCAGCAGTGCACAAGGGTTCTCTTTTTTTCTACATCCTCGCCAATACTTGTTATCTTTTGTCTTTTTTTTTTTAAAGATTTTATTGGGGAATTGGGGGAGGGAACAGCGTTGGGGAATGTGGGAAGGGGAACAGACAAGTTGCTGTCCTTTTGTTCTTCAGTCTAGTTTGTGGAGGATGTCGCTTTTACTGATCCATGCTGGTACTATGATCATAGCGCTCTTCCCCGCTGAGGCAGATTGCTCACTAAAGTTTACAGCAGCCCACTGCAGCCCTGCTGCAGCCTACGCTGTTGACGGTGACTCACAGCAGCCCAGCTCCAAGTCGAGCCGTTGTCACCATCTTAGCTATAGAGGGCACAGCGTCACTGGCCCATGTGGGATCCAAACCAGCGGCTCTGCTGCTCAGAGCTTGTGCTCCCAAGCCAGCTCTTAACCAACAAGCCACTAGGCCAGCCCATCTTTTGTCTTTTTGATAATAGCCATTCTAGCAGGTTTGAGGTGATAGCCCATCGTGGTTTTGATTTGCGTTTCACTGATTATTAGTGATGTGTTGAGCATCTTTTCATGTACCTTTTGGCCATTTTTATGTCTTTGGAAAATGTTTATTCATTTCTTCTGCCCGTTATTAAATGGGGTTGTTTGCTTTTTGTTGAGTTTTATGAGTTCTTCAGTTATTTTGGATTTTAACCCTTTATCAGATATGATTTGCAAATATTTTTTCCTGTTCTGAAGGTTGACTTTTCATTTTGTTGGTTCTACTTGTTTATTTTTGCTTTTGTTGCCTTGCTTTTGGTGTCATACAGTAAATATTTTAAGTTATCACTTTTCCGATTTTAAAAAACATTTCTGATTGAGGTCCATTGAGAAAACTTTGGCAAATAGGAAAATAAACATTGTGATATTTTGACAATTTTCTTCAGTTTCTTTTATTGTATGTCTGTATTTTTGAAATGTACCCTAAAACATTACAGAAATTTTTCACTGCATTCACCAACAGTATTTCCTGGTATGTTTTCTAGATGTATGGCTTGTGTTAAGTCGCATAGTTCATATATATACATACTACCCATTCTTTAAATTCATCAGATGAAAGACATTTTATTTTTAACTCATTTGAAAAATTACAAGAATGGGGGTGGGGGGAAGAATGGGGCAGTGTATATTTTTGCTGTGAAGAGTTCACTAACAGTATAATCTGCTTGACATAGAAATTTCTCAGGTAATTATCCTTGTAGGGTCTCTCAGAGTAAAATAGTGTTTTCTGTCATGGGGACTGTGCTGTATTAGGAAAACTAGGTATCTTAAACTTATGGTTTCCTTGTGTGAATATAATTTCTTTGCTTTAACACAGTATTTTCAACTTGAAATTAATTCCTTCTCCTTTTTCCTGAGAAAGGCAATTTTATTTGAGAAGTATTTACTATAAATATATTATTTTATAGTCTGTAACCATTTAATTTTTGAACTGACATGTGATCAGATACTTGGCTAAACTTTGGAAGGAGCATATCATTTTAAGCTAAAATTGTCAAGCCTATTTTTCATTAAAACTCGCATTGGCTGCCTTTTCTTCTCCTAGGAGAAGAAGCACAGTGCCCCATGTTAAAAGAAACTTTTTAAGACTGATTACTAATAACATAGTTATAGACCTCATGGTTTTTAGGACATCTTTTCATAAAATACACTTACTGGCATAATAACTGTATTTAATGTTCTACAAACTATTGTTTACATTATTTTGTTATAGAAAGAAATATTAATTAACATGCTCAATCGCTTCCTTTCACAGAAAGAATACTCCTGTGGGCAGAAGAATCTTGCAGGCATATTTTGATGCTCTACCTCCCCTTCCTGTTCTTGTTGTGGTGAATCTGCATTCAGGTGGCCAAGTGTTTGCATTTCCTTCAGACCAGGCTGTAACTGAACAAAACCTTTTATTGTGGCTTGAGAAATTAGAAGCAGGACTAGAAAGTCCTATCAGTAAGTTTTCTGTTTTGTTGAATACACACCATTCTGTATTTGGTTTCATAGATTATCAAACTTGAATTACAGCCAATGAATGCTAGAATGAATTGAAGTGTAATGCTTATAAGTGTCTGAAATGTTAATGTGCTGATAGCATTGGCCATGGGACAGTCTCCTCCTACATGGTTGGTATTACTACTCACAGAAAATACGTACATTGTATTAAATTTAGTAATAGCTAGCATTTATTGAATGCTTACTATGTATCTAGTACAATGCTAAGTGATTCACGTGCATTATCTCATTTGTCACAAGAGTCATATGAAGTATTACCTGTAGGAGAGTTAAGTAACTAGTTACAAATCATATAATTAACCAGTAAATGAGGAATCTTGGATTCCAACCTGGATCTCTTTTATTCCAGAGCCAAAATTCTGAACCACAAGAAAATAGATCTTGGCTTAGAATTTATGGTGTTGGCTCATGACGTGCCATAGTTTCTACTTTGGTAAAACATATGTGAATTTATACTTGTAGTATAGATGCATGTGTTAATTTATATACAATTATAACAACAGGCCTGTTGCTGTGATTTAAATAAGTTAACATATAATTACCTAGATCATTAGTATATTGAGGAAATAGTGTGAAATTTGATGTAATGAAAAGTCTCCTAAAGTGCTGTCCAAGGATTTTGTTATTCGATAGCAGATAAACTATATTATAATAACATTTTGACACTGTTCCGTGATAGAATCCTAAAATAAGAGGTGTGTCTGTATATGCGAATATATATGTTTATATTTACACATATCGTTCTGGTATACAAACTCCAATTCAGTGTTATATTGTCTTTCAGCCAACATGCATAGTGTGAATTTAATCATTATGTATATTTGTTTATATTTAATCAGATACTTGAGTTTATTTTAAGTGTCAGTCATTGTAGTACACCTGTTCTTCCCAGGTGGTCTGCTTCATTTCTGTTAAGTTAGGCAGCTTAACTAAATTATGTTTAAGTAGTCTGTAGATGGTATTTTTATATTGAAATATAATTCACATACCATAAAATTCACCTTTTTAAAGCATACAATTCAGTGGTTGTTAGTATATTTACAATGCTGTGCAACCAATACTACTATTGAATTCTATATTTTTATCACCCCAGAAAGAAACCCCATACCCATTAGCATTCATGCCCCATTGTCCTCTCCTTCCACCCCTTGAAAACCATGCATTTACTTTGTCTTTATGGATTTGCCTAATCTGGATATTATAAATGCAATCATTTAGCATAGGTTTCAAAGGATCATTGAAATTTTTGTTATAGCATGAAAACAGCAATTCATTCCTTTTTATGAATGAATCATATTCCATTGTATGGCTATACCACATGTTGTTTTTCTGTTCATTGGTTCATGGGCATTTGGGTTGTCTCTGCTTTCTGGCTGTTGTGAATAACGCTGCTCTGATCATTGATGTATGTGCCTGTTTTATATCTGTCAAATGCACAGGTGCCTTATGCCTGTACCACACTGTCCTCAATACTGCAGCTTTGTAGTGGGTTTTAAATTGGGAAATTTGATTCCTTCAACTTTGTTCTTCATTTCTACGATTATTTTGGCCATTCTGGGTTGTTTTCGATATTTTTAAGTCTTAATTTTCTGAGATAATTTAGTTAAATTAAACTGCCTATTTTAAGTCGTAATCTGGAAAAAAGCCTTTCTGTGGTTATCACTTGTCTCTGACTTCTTCATTCTAGCCACATGGAGTAGGGTTTTTTTCAGTTGTAGCTCTTGAACTCTAAAGATAGCCTGTGTTCACTACTCCATTTGTATTGCTATTTTATAGAATCAAGTAAATGTCATTTTGCAGTTGCTGCAAAGGCCCTATGGACTGAGTAAGTCAAATAGGATTATATGTAGCTAGGGCCAGAGTACCTCTCAAATGGAATTGCTTTTAAAAAGGTGGTAAAATTCAAAAATACACAAACCTGAGCTTATGACCCGGCCTCCTTGATTAATATCTGTGTGGCTCTAGGCAAGTCTTTCTTTGTTTCCTCCTCTGCAACAGTAAAATGAGATTAGTAAGTTCCCACTCTGACTCCATCCATACTTAGTTAAAAAAATCAAAACCATGTATACAAAGGTACTTTGTAAAGTGTAAAATCTAAAGTGTTATCGTGATTCATGTAAAGATTCTTTCCTATAAGGAGCATCCTTGGGGACTTTGATTCCTCAACTCAAACCATTTCCAGGAGGAAAGAATCAGAATTATTCTTCTGAGTTTTCTGAAAGACTGGTATCTCTTCCGTTGCAATTTTGTTCATGAAATCCTTTGCCACCTCACTCTTTGAGGGATTTTCATTATTTCTTTGTGTCACTCCTCCTGTTCTTAAGTTATTCCTGCAGCCTCTGCAGCAGGGAAGAAGCAAACCAAGCAGTACTTATTTTCAGTGCTAGCAGGACCTGCTGTCACGCTCTTGGGGAGATGGATCTGAGGTGGGGGTCTTGCAGCTACCCTTGGAATAGCCTGAATCTGTCCCATGGTGCCACAGGTGTCTGCCTCACTTGCTGCACATCTTAATTTCTGTGAAATTGTGACCACCGGCTATTTTTATTTGAGATTTACACTTAACTTTGGTCAATTTCCCTGACCTATTCATGCCTTGATTTCCTCATCTATAAAATTGGGATAATAATTGTACTTACCTCATGGAGTTGTAAGGATTAAATGGATAATGCCTGGTATATAATAAAGGCTCAATAAATGTTAGCTATTATTATCATTACTAATTTGATAATAATGTTTTTATTACCCATATATGATTTGGGTACAGTTTTATTTGCAATTGAAAACAGTAAGACCTTGGTAGTGTTCCCTTAGCAAATAACTAGCAGAATTGTAATGTCCAGTTATAGGCATTTTGTGATCATCTTAGTCCACTAGGCTGCAGTGTCTACTTTTAAAAATACTGCTGGGCCAGCCGAGTGGCTCAGTTGGTTAAGAGCTCGCTCAAGAGTGTGAGCTCTGAGCGACAGCAGTTCGATTCCCGGCCCAAGCTGAGCTGCCAACAGGTGGCAGGATGACTCAGCTAAGAAAAAAAAAATACTGCTAAATATGTGCTATAGTTTAAGTTGAACTTCTCTTTAAAATACTTTAAATTAATAAATATACATCTGCATATTGCAAACTACAAATAGTTATTCTTACCTCCTACCTATTCATTATATTCAAGAAAATATTTTATCTGCTTGTCACTTTTGAATCTGCTAACCTGGAAACAGTAATTTGAAACATCAGTTACAGTGGTAGCCTAAATTTAATACCCTGCTGATGTCCCAGGTACTAGGATTTTGTATGATTGAGTCTGATTGAAGAAATTATATATCAGTGATATGTAAATACATATACTGTATATGTACTTATGCACATTTTTGTTTGTGCTTTAATCTACTCTAGGAAATTAGAATTTATATGAATTATCCTAAGCTTTTAAAGATATTTATTTGATCTGTAAGAGATGCTTAAGTTTGTATTTTATGAACATTTATTTTTTTCATGTAACATTCTTTCACTGGAATTTATTTTTAAAATGTTTATTTTGCAAATTTTCTTATATAGTTTTATTTCTCAAAATGGTATTTTAAATGGGCAACTGAATTCAAATTATTTTGTAAAATTTCCCTACTAAATAGAGAAAAGTTAGCTAATTTGTCACAAATTTATCACAAATGTTATATATTATTTCATATATATAATCATATATATGATTTCAAGCCTAAGTCAGTTTTCCTCTTCTAATGACCAATGTTTTAAAATAATGTTGATTCACTACCAGGAAACCCATCTAAGAAATTATTCAATGCCTGTCTGTTTATAGTTGACTCCATAGCAATTTTTAATTATTCCTATCATAGTTATTTTTATAAAATGGACTTATTTTCATAAAAGTGTGTGCAAAGGATGTTAATCAAAAGCTTTAAAAACAAAAAAACTCTTTAAAATGTAAGGAAATACCTATCTAAATAAATAAGAAATAAATATGTATGTGCCAAAACCTTTTGGAATGATTCATAAGAAACAGTTCCAATTCTTTGGGATAAAGACAGAGGTAGGGAGGCAAGGAAGGAGGATACTTTTTAACCTGTACCTGTGTGGTCATCTCATAAACATATTGCTATTTTCTAAAACCTCAACAAGGGTTAACTGGCAGGGAGATTATAGACATTTTGTTTTCTTCCTGTTAATACTAACCGTTATTTAGAATAGCTTGCAAATAATATAAAAAATGAAAATGGTTAGTAATGAGAAATGTATCAAGTTTCTTAGACAGTGTAGTAAAAAACAATCTAGTTTTGCTTAGATAAGTAAAACTGATAAAATCTTCACTTCTACAAATATATATTTCAAAATAAGACATTTTCTAGTATAATGTAGATGATGTTTTTTTAATCTGTTCATCTTTAACCTGTGATTGTACCTTTTTTCTAGCAATTTTACCTGCTCAGGAATGGAAACCTCCTCTTCCTGCTTACAATTTTCTGCGTATGATGGATGCTGCAGCATTTCAACATTCCAGTAGGAAAGGCCCTGAGTGTATGGAAGACACTGGTGTTCAGGAGAATGATCAAGAACAGCATGAAGATAAACCAGCAATCAGAAAAGAACCGACTGAAACATTGAGAATAAAGCACTGGAATAGAAGTAATGTATTTAAAGCAGAAAAATCATTTAGGCATGACAATAAAGAGTTATGATGCTCAAAAGTGAGCCGATTTCATAGGACTGTGGGACGCTTTCCAAAGTCTTTTTGGCTTATTTGATAGACTTAAGAATTTATTTCACTAGAAATAATACTAAATCATTTCAAGTTTCTAGACCAGTGCTGTTCAGTAGAAATATAATGTAAGCCATATGTGTCATTTAGAATTATCTAGTAGCCACATTAAAGGTAAAAACGAGCAGGCGAAATGAATTTTAATAATATATTTCATTGAGTAAGTATACCCAAAAATAGTTCAGTTAACAGAAAAATGAGATAGTTTACATTCTTTTTTTTTCATATCAAATCTTCAAAATCCAGGGCAGAGTGAGCACTTATCACACATCTCGTTTGGGAGCAGCTGCATTCAAGTGCTCAGTAGCAGCCTGTGGCCAGTAATGACTATTGTATTGGGCAGCTCAGCTCTAGACAAAAGCTGGCATAATTAATCTAACTCAGTTCTAGCCTGATATATTTTAAACTAAAATATAAATATAATTCTAGTTTAATCACAGTTGACTCCACAATGGAATCATGAACCTGACAGTTGTATTTGTTTTATTATAGTGATGATGTTAAAACCAGTGTTTCTTAACCAGGGAGCATTGTTGCCTCCTAGGGGACTTTTGGCAATGTCGAGAGACGTTTTTGATTAGGGATGCTGCTGGCATCTAGTGGCGAGAGAACCAGGGATGCTGCTTAAACATCCTACAATATATTGGACAGCCTCCCACAACAGAGCATTATGCTGCCCAAAAGTCCATCGTGCCAAGGTTAAGTAACCCTGTGTTAAACTAACCTGTGGCAGAGTGGGCTCCCTGAATTTTCTGGTTCTACTCAGTTACCATGATTGAAAAAATCTTGGATGTTAAAGATAAATATTAGGTGGTCTTATTCTGATTATTATCTGGACACAATCTTATGTTTTCTTATAAATTCTTTTTATAATAATTTTAAAAAGTAATGCAATAACCCTAAAAGGACTCAGATATATATTATATAGATCACTATATTATCACAATATAATATATATTGCATTATGTATATTATATATTCTATTATTTAGAGGTATATATATATATATAATAGACTATATGATGACTCTCTTATATATATAATTCTTATATACATATAAATATATGTATATGAGAAACTTAAAACCTCTTATTTATACAAGTTATATTGCTAAATTTAGATTGAACAGGAATTAAACATTCTGCCATTCTCCTCACGAAATGAGAGGCTCCCTCGTCTGAACCATGTGTGAAATCTACCCTTATAAGCTTTGGACAAATCATTTGGTCTCCCTAGGCCATTGGGCCTCATTTATTATAACAAAATGGTGGAATTAGCCAAAAACTTAAATTTTCATTCCAATAGCACTTACTTGTCAGGCTGACCTGTTTGTAGCAATTGTCTGTCTCATTTTTGCTGTGTGTGTTTTTTGAGACATTTGTTGAGAATATCCGACTTAGTATTCCACTATATTTCTCCTTATATCTACTTGGTATATCTTGTTCTTGAAATTTTCTCTCCATATGGTTTGCCTAGTACAAATGACATTTCATAACTGGAATTTTAAAAATCATAAACAGCTAGATTTCAATAAATTGGTGACATAAGTCATTTGCTACTCTCAGCACCCCCTCCTTGATTTTTTTCCTGTGGCATGTAATGTGTATTATTTGAGTTCATTCTCATTTGTTTTTATTTCTAACATCGAAGATGAGAGTGAACTCAAAATATGTTTGTAGTAATAAAACATTGTCAGCCTAACCATTAGAAATTGCTGATTAACTACAAGCACACAGAAACATGAAATTGATTAGTCATTGTACCATGCAGTTATTAATACATGTTCTTTTAACAATTTTAAAAGTATCTAGATTTCAGGTACTTCAAAAACTTTCTTTTGCCTTGGTCATGCCCTCTATTAAACCACTTACCCTGAATCAGTTGTGTTGGTAGTAAGCAACGTAGTTCATCCCTGGTTAACTTAAACAAAATGAGAATACACTTGTCCCTTGGTATCCCCCTCCCTGCAGATACCAAAGCCTGAGGATGCTCAAGTCCCATATATAAAATGGCATAGTATTTGCACATAACCTATATTTGCACATAGGCCTATGTATCACTTCATTCATGTGGATTTAGCATAGTACTCGGCATGAGGCAAGTTTTAGTTTTGCTTTTTGGATTTTTTATTATTTTTTTATCCATAGTTGGTTGAATCTGTGGATGTAAAACCCGTGGATATGGAGGGCCAACTGTATTGGGTGACTCACACAGCTGGAAGAAAAATTCAGCCATGCTTTGAAAAGATAGGAACCAAGGATGTTCTGGGATCTGTGTAGCAGGAACTAACAGCTTAATGATGAATCTGTTCCAAATGTTGTGCTATCTTTCACGATTCAGGGAGTCCTGGAAAAGTTGGTTGGGGGAAGAGTGAGCACTTTAATTGGCAGCCCTAACCAGACTTTCACCGTGTAGAAGAGGTAAACCCCACAAAAGAAATCTAGATTCCATTTACCCGGAAAAGTGAGCGTGAATTTGGAGGGAGGAAAAGGTGTGACTATGGAGAGGTGGTCCTCACAGCACCACTTAACTGTTCTTCTATCTGTCTTTTGTATCCTTTTCAGGTCTTTCTGTCACATCCTCCTGTCCATTTTTGAGACCTTCAGAAGCCTTCTGTCTACCCCCTAAGTGGTTGTAGTTTTCCTACATGTCCCCCTGATTCTCAAAAGACTTCCTGGCTAGTGCACATGTACATTTTGCGTAATATCATCCCTCATGAATCAGATTCTTTCACCCTCTCTTGCCGCACCTAAACATCTTGGTCCATTGCTCCCAGCCCTTGTGATGAAATATTCCATGAGTTGTTTTTCCAAAATTCCTGATTTCATTATTCAAGCTTGTGCTTCATTTAAAAACTAAATGTGTATATTTGGTAACAGTAAGTAATCAAATAGGTATACCTTGAGAGCTGTGCTTAAATTAAGCTTAATGGGTAGAAAGCTGCAAGAGAATGTTACTGCCATCCTAATAACAAGGGAAAAAAATCTTAACTTTTCTTATACTCATCAAAGAAGGCAACCAAAGAAACTGAATTCCAGAGTGACAAGCCTTTTCAAGGAGAGATGGGATACATGAACTGTTTCACCTTTGGCAGTCGGAGAGAGAGCAAACCTTCCTGCCTCCAGGGCCCAGGCAAAGATCTGCCTCTGGGGGAGGGGCAAATGTAAAACTCTCTGCCCCTAGGGAGTGGCAGAAAACCTCTTGGGCCCAGGATCCTGCACCAATCCCAAGCAAAATCTGCTATTACTGGGAGAAATGCAGGATCATCTCTCCTGTTCAACAACTATGAGAAATAGCCATGTTTAGCTGCCATGGGGGTGGAGGTAGAAATTCTGAGAAGGCGCCACGCCCCCTACCCTCCCAGGGTTGACTGCACAGGCCAAGAATGCAACAGAAGAACCAAGAACTACCTCCACCCATCAGCAGCTTAGTATCAAATTACAAGCAACAAAAGCTCACCACTTTGGGAAGCCCAATATTGTAGAATGACACAGGTATAGCAGGACTTGCTGTAAGCTGAGAGCGGAGCCAGGAAACAAACCCTCTGGCACCCAGATCCAACTCTAAGTATGAGGTAATAGCAGCCAATCCCTGGAGGAACATGCAGACTGTGGTGCACCAAAGGTAAAAATAAAATCTAAATCCGTTTTGACTGACTAGATTTACTCAGTCCCCCACACTAATGGCCAGTTGTAAATTTTATATATCTGTCTTTATTATTCTCCAGATGTGTGGCATTCAGTCTAAAATTCTAAGACTAAAAAAAAACCAACAAGTAACAGAAAATAATCCATTGTCAAGAGATGAAACAGATGACAGAGCGAAACTCAGAGATGACCCAGATATTTGAACTGTAAGACAGAAACTTTAAAATAACTATGATTAATCTGTTAAAGGATTTAGTGGAAAAGGTGGGCAATATACATGAATAGTTGTGGAATTTTGGCTGTGATGGAAAAGTTAGAAAAAAAAATGCCATCAGCAATGAAGAATGCCTTTGGTGGGCTTATCAATAGAATTGGCACAGCAGAAAGGAATCTGAACTTGATAAGTCAATGGAAATTATGCAAAGTGAAATACAAAGAGAAAACAATAATAAAGCAGGACAATTCAAAAGCTCTGGGATAATACCTGTTTAACATATATGGTATTGGAATTACAGAAGAGAAAACAGGATTACTTGAAGAGATAATGGCTGAAGAATTTTAAAAATTAATGAAAGACAATAAATCACAGAAATAAGATGTGCAGAGAAGCCCAAATAAGATAAAAAACAAACAAACCCAGTATATCATAGCGAAATTACTAAAACCAAAGATAAACAGAATATCTTGAAAATGGCCAGAGCAAAGAAACATTCCCATTCATCTCTCTTGCTTGCTTTCTCACTGTTCTTTTATAAAACCCTTTAAGAAATATAAAAGCCATTCCTTGGAGTAAAAGTTTTATGAAATAGGGGGAAAAATATATAGATATATATATATTTTTTTTTACATATATATATATATATATGTAAAAGCCATTCTTACCTTAGGGATCATGAAAAAAAACAGGCCATGGGCTGGATTTGGCCTGCTGGCCACAGTTTGCCAACCCCTTGTCTAAAGCAAAAACTGGAACAATATACTGTGAGATTCCTGCAAATTTAAAGATAAAATCTATGACAATAACAAATGTCAATAGCAATCACAGTACAAAAGAATGGGAGGGAGGACTTTGAAGTGTACTGTAGTAAGGGTCTCACTTTGTGAAGTGGTATAACACTAGAGGTAAATTGTGATAAGTTAAAGATGTATGTAAGCCTTTAGCAATCACTAAAAAAAAAGATAACTAGTCAATTGTGGAGCTGAAATGGAATAAAAAAATAATTGAAAAGGAGGTAAGAGAATGATAAAAATGGCACAAATAGGAAGCACTAACAAAATGGTAGACTTAAATCTACCCATAGCACTACATATATTAATGTAAATGGTCTACACACCCCAATTAAATGCAGAGATTGTAGATTAGATTTTAAAAGTAAGAGTTATATACTCTACAAAAGAATCCCAAATCTTTAAAAATAAAAGAATGAGAAGAAAGATAATATGCAAACACCAACCAAAAGCTAGCTAGAATGATAGTCACATTAACATCAGACAAAATAGACTTCAGAACAAGGACTATTAGCAGGGATAAAGAGGGATATTACATAAAGAGGTCAAGTCCTCAAGAGGATGTTACAAGTCTAAGTGTGCATGTTTCTAAAAAAAGATCTTTAAAAGCTGATAGACTCTCAAGGAGAAATAGACAAAACTATTAAATTGTTAGAAACATCCACATTCTCGGTAACTGATACAGCAAGTAAACAAAATATATAAAGATATAAAAGAAGTGAACAACAATCAACTTTACCTATTTGACATTTGTAGGAAATTTCAAGAGAAGAAGCAGCCAATATACTTCATAGACATGCATACAAAATCTTTAACAAATACTACCAAATCTAATCCAACAAATCTGAAAAAGATAGTACATCATGGCTAAGTAGAGTTTGTATCAAGGATGCAAGGTTGGCTCAATATTGTCGGGCTTACTTCATTAATATTTTAGAAAATGCCTGCAAAATACCCAAGTCTAAATAACCATAGCTTGTTCTCTCCAGTAAAAATGGTGTTCTATGAGAAAAAAACTTGGCTAACTCTCAAAGCACACAATTGCTTTTTCTCAAGATAAACATACTTTGGGATAACTGCAATGGTTCTTTGTGTGCACTTGCCATTTCATCACGTAACATTAAAAAGACATGTACCCAAGGTTCAAATTTTAATCCAAGTTAATTTTACTGCTTCATCAAAGATATTCTTAACGATTTTTTTTTCAACACTGCAAGTGTCATAGTGACTAAACCTGCTGAATTAGGGGAAACAAAAAAGTATGATGAAATTACAATCATAAGACACAGAGAAATTGCCCTTTTTCCACAGTTGAATCTATTAAGTCCACAAAAATATTTTGTTGACATGTTAGAAATATGGGACAGTCATTTATCTTGGCAATTGTGACTTTACAAACACAGACAAGTCATTTGCGTTTTCCTAAAACATAAATTGCGTAGAACACTGTGGGAAATGTAAAATACCAAAATAATTTGGTTTTGATGGCTTATCTTTGAACAAAGAGGGATACTCTGGATTAAAGACCACTTATAAATAAATTGGCTAATTTATCTATTGTACACTGGGTGGACAGAACCTAGGAGGACCACTGTGCTCACACCCTACATAATCCCCTCCCCTTGAGTGGGTGAGACCCGTGTCTTCCTTCCAATCAATAGACTATGGCAAAGACAATGAATGTCACTCCCATGATTACATTACAGTATGTGTATATAATACATATATATCCAACTTGCTAGCATGCAGAGGTTCTGCTTACCTGCTTACTGAAGTAAGTAGGAATCCTCTAAGCATTACAGGGGGCCTCTGGGATCTGAGGGAGACCTCTGGTCAGCAGCCCATGAAAAACTTGGGGCCCTCAGTCAAATAGCCCACAGAAATAAACTCTGCCAACAATCTGAATAAGTTTGGAAATGGATTCTTCCTTATTGAGCCTCTGGATGAAAATGTAGCCTGTGAAATTATGAGCAGAGGGCAGAGTAAACTCATGCCTGGACTCCTGACTCAGAAATTGTGAGATAAAAAATGTTTAGAACTGTTTTTGACAGTGTAACAAAAACATAGCCCCTTCTTTCATGGAATTTACATTCCAGTGCATGTGAGATAGAAAATAAACAAGTAAATACACAGAGTTAGGTGATGATAACCGCTATGAAAAAGAGTAAGTCAAAGGGAGATAGGGAGTGGTATGGGACATCCTTCTTTTATAGGAAATGGTTAAGGAAAGCCCCACTGATAAGATACTTGAACAAAAACTAAAAAAAGAAGGAAGGGAACAAGAGAGTTCTTGGTGAGAAAAGAAAACATTCCACACAGAGGGACTAACAAGTGCAAAGGCCCCAAGCTGGAAGAAAGTCTCATGTGTTTGAGGAACACCAAGGAGGTCATTGGCTGGAATGTGAGGAAAGAATAGTAGAAAATGAAGTTGGAGATGTAGCCAAAGGTCTTACCATTCAAGCCCTTGTTAGCTGTGGGCAGGACCTCCCTCTCTGTGTGACGGAAAGCCATTAGATGGTTTTGAGTGTCCAGGAGGGGGATGTGATCTGATTTTTTCAGTCAGAGTGATCACTTTTTCTGCTGAGCTGAGAATAGGCTATATAGGTAAGGACAGAAGGAGGCAGAAGAGTTAGAAGGCTACACGGGCCGGCTGAGGGCTCATTGGTTAAGAGCTGGCTTGGGATGCCAGAAGGCCCTGGGTCGGATCCCACATATGAGGGCCAGTGACACTGCCCTCTACAGCTAAGATGCTGAACAACAGCTCAACCTGGAGCTGGGCTGCGGAGAGTTGCCCGCGACGGCGTAGGCTGCAGCTCCTGCTGCAATGGGTTGCCATGGGCTACCATGTGTAGCCAGCAGCCAGTGTGAGCAGTCAGCAGCCGCAGTGAGCAGCTGTCCAGAAGCCAGCGACTGATGTGCCTCACCCGGGAAGAGCGCAGTGATGGTGCCAACTTGGGCCAGTGAAGCAACGTCCTCTACAACTAGACTGAAGAACAAAAGGACAGCACTTGTCTGTTCCCCTTCCCCCAAATCCCCAGCGCTGTTCCCATCCCCCAATTCCCCAATAAAAATCTTTTAAAAAAATAAAATAAAAATGAGACAGGGCAATTAGGTAGGAAATTTGAGGAGAAAAGAAAAAATGTCACTTTTGAGAGTGAGAAATTAGAGAAAGTAGCTTAATGGGCGATATTAAGAGCCCGTTTCAGGCTGAATCATGAAATTAACATGAATTTACTCTGCCTTGTGATGTGATTTTTCCCAAGCAGTGTTCAACTATCAGGGTACTTGATTGCAGAGAGAAGACAAACGTGAATTTTTCCAGCTTTGTCAAGCATGCATGATGGTGTAAGAGTGAGAGAATAGGGGTAGCTGGCAGAGAATGAGTAATTGAGAGCTCATGTTAGTAAGTGACTAAATGATGGGCCATGGAATGTAGGTCAGACAAATAGGTAAATAAATACAGGAGGGGTCTACATAGAAAGTAAGAAAGCAACATTAATGCATTGAAGATCACAATATAGTTGATGAAGTAGTGTTCTTTCTAGAAGTTGTGTTTGGGATTTTTAGACTGAAAATGTTAACACATTTCAAGATACCTGACTCAAGTCTTCTGTGAAGGGTAGAGTTCCCCTGAAGGAAGCCAATAGGAAAGAAGTGCTTCCTTCAGAATTTTATTCCCTGTCGAGTGTGTGATGTTTCTGGCTTTGAGGCCACATCAGTCTTGAAGGCCACAACCAAGATTGGTTGGATCACAATAATAGCAATTTCTCAGTCAGAACTTCATGATCCTACCTTTTTCTGCCCTCATCCTGCAGTGGCAAATTCTAAAGCACCCAGAAGATCTTCCTGTTCGATCATTACTAAAGTTTACCTGGGATATATTAATACTGGATCTCATATCATTTCCTCTTTTGTGGTTCTAGCTGCTCAGCTGATCCAATCATTGTTCTGAAATAAAGGAGAGAGTAAGAAGGTGCTTTCTTCCCATTTGTGTTAAAATTGTGTTTACTAAACCTTCACATAGACGTCTTCTGATTCTGTGTCTTAATATATCTCTCTTGCAGATCTTTAATTAAACTCGTTCTTTCAAAATAACTCAGCTTTTCTCTCCCAGAACTTTTATTTCCCATTCCTTGAGGTATAGACAGCAGGCAACCAGGTTGAAGGCAATATAAGTGATACCACATTGAGCTCTTCTCAAAATCTTTCCTTCTTACCACATTCAGGAATTGCTACAGCAAGTGGTGACTTGAGCTTTCTTTCTCCCAGAAGGTGTGCTTTCTGATTATCCACTGCAGGTCTGATTATCACCTTTAAATGTCATTGTCCTTTTCAGAGCCCAAATTAAAATTTCTGTAGTAGATATGCACCAAAGAGATCCCTGCTGTATTTGAATTTCTCTTTTCTAAGTTGAAAGACCAGTACAGCTCTATGTAAGACTCCATGTAAAACCATTTGCAGGTACTAATGTAATGGAGATAATACTTTGGGGACAATTTGGCCAACTGTTAAGTGAAGGGCCTACTGACATGTCCATAATACCATTGAACCAGAATGTCATCTAGGGCATCCAGAATCGATCAAAAGTAGGCACAAATCAAATGCCTGAAGATGATACGCAACTGAAAACAGCTACTACCAAGAGATTCTAGGAATATGGCAGCCTATGTCATTTGCATCAATCCTGTTAATGAAAATTTAAAATGCTAGGTAATTTTTAAAAGCTTGTTTTTCAAAGGATTAAGGGGCTGACAAGAGATTTTTTAAAATTACCAGGCC